TCAATTAGCTCCAGGCCAGAGTTAAACCCACAGGCATCTAAGAGCAGGAGGCTCCCTGGTTCAATTAGCTCCAGGCCAGAGTTAAACCCACAGGCATCTAAGAGCAGGAGGCTCCCTGGTTCAAACCATCACCAGACTCTCCCTCTCTCCACAGAAAGCCCGCTGATCTACACAACCTTGCTCCTGGCACGCACCCGCCCTTCCTGACCTTCAACGGGGATGTGAAGACCGATGTCAACAAGATTGAGGAGTTCCTGGAGGAGACCTTAGCCCCTGAGAAGTAATGAACTGGTCCTTTGCAGAGCTATGGAAGGGGGAGGGTTAGCAGATTTCCAAAAGGGCTGCTGTGATTTGGAGCAGAGCCCTCTGTTTTTCAGCATGGAACCACATCCTCAAAGTAGGCGCACTAAGGCCAGTTGCCTAGAGATACTGCCAGTCATTTCCTACACAGAGTGACTTTAAGGGCGTTGGGAAGATCATTATCTCTCTCTCCTACAAGGCCTGTTCCCCAACTCTAGTGCACCATACCTGGAAAAAGTAGAGATGAGGCAGGCTCCCTCAACTTTAGAGGTGGGAATGAAAGGCCAACAAACCAGGAAAGGGACAGCTGGTGCCCAAAACCACACCAGGAGTCATAAAGCTGACCAAGTCACAGATCAACAGATACAAGTACTGACCGGAGCTGGCAGGTGCAGGGGCTGAAAGTTCTCACGGGGCCAGATTAGCTGCTCCTGATACAACAAGAGAAGAGGCATAATCTTGAAAGATGGCGGAGTGTAGGCCCATTCATTGGAGAATACTGTAATTAGAGGTTAAAGCAATCACAGCTCGTGGTTGAACTGAGAAACTGACATTGCTGGCGGAATGAGGCATGAACTCCATGTTGCAGGGTAGCCGAGGAAAGATCTTGGAGCAAGCAACTGACTTGGAGAATCAGCTGTAGGATACTTACCACGGGGCCTGGCAAAGGAAGCAAGGAAACGGTACACAGGTTTGGGCACGGAGCTCTGTTGCTGGGGTGCTTATCTGGCATGGGAGAAGCCCTGAGCTCCATCCCCAGCGACACACAAGCCAAGTGTGCTGGTGTATGCCTCCATTCTCAGAGCTCGGGGGTAGAGTCGGGAGGATTCGAAGTTTTTCTTTGGAGTGTAGGAAGTTCAAGACTAGCCTGGGGTATGTGAGATCTTGTCTAAAACAAAACATCAGTAACAAACAGGCTATAGGTTCAGAAATGGGGTTGGAGGAGCTAAGTGGTGGAGGTTTAGGTGAAACAGAAAGCCTCGGCCGAGGGAGAGGAATAAGGAGATGGGTAAAGGGAGGAGAATCGGACTACCACTCCCCCTCCTGTCTTTATCTCAAAGCTTTGTTTACCCAGCAGCATATGTTCCCAAGTCCCGTCAGGCAGTGAGTTCTCTGAATCATGTCTCCCTCTCCCGAGATCTCTCCTGGGACCTGGGAGAAGGGGCTGTCCTTGTCCTCGTTTTATAGTCTGGCAGAGTGGGACAGCCCAAGGCAAACAACGGTGCCTTACTGATGGAAAATTACTAGACCCCGCTGGCTCTGATGAAGCCCTAAGCAAGGGTGTGTGGTCCCTTAAGAACATCCTTTGTCACTGTGTTAGGCCATTTTCAACACTGCCTGGCAGTGCTGGGCAGCTGCCTGCAGCCCTTCAGAAGCAGCTGCCTTTCAAAATGTGAATTAGTTCAGTCAACAGCGCAGCCACACACAGCACCCTGCAGGCCACAGCCAGAAGCCACGTGTGTCTTTGAACAAAACACCAGCCAGCCACTTGGATAGATGTGTCCTGCAAGAGCTGACCCCTTCCTTTTTCTTCCCCCCCGGGACTCAACCTCATTTGTTGCTTGTACTAGTTGCAAATCCCACATGAGAACAAAACAAAACAAACAGTTTTCAGTAACTCCGAGTTCAGGCGTGGCCTGGGGAGGTTAATGTTGTCTCTCTGGAACAAATACTCCCATTCATGACTATCTACTTCCACCGAGTCTGTCAAGGAGAACAGGAAGGCACAGGAGGTGAGGGCAGGGCTGTCCATGTGGTTTTCTGCCAAACTGATAGATGGGATAGATACACCGCTCGCTCTGCCAGGGGACGTGAGTGTCATCTAGGCCCATCCCATCTCTGCTCTTTTCTTCAGGGCTCCCCTCTGAAAGGACACGCCCCCTCTGAGACCGTTTCCTGACTTGGTTCTACACACTCAGGTTAGCCACGACCCCTGCCTCCCACCATCTCAGTCAGTGTTCACAGTGAGACCAAAGAGATAAGAAGACCCAAAGATTATAGAATTCCCTTAAAAAGAAAAGAAAAAAAAAAAAAAAAAAAAAAACCCACAACATTCTTTTTCGAATAAGGTCATTATCAGATTCATTGTCTTTTTCTCTGGTTGTAAAGCTCTTATGGTCCAAGGACGACCTAGCAGTGCTGGGCAGGTAGACTCCAGCTTCTCCTCCCTACTCACTCATACTTCCGATACTCAGCATGATGCTTGCTGTCTGTCCCAGGTTTTTTCTGGATTTCTGTTAAGTGTAGGCAATGTGACGAAAGACACTTCTGCCAGGCTAGTGACCTGGCCATCTAGGCAGCAGATAGACCCTCAAGCTCATTAAATGAACCTCAGTGGTCTCCTAAAGTGAGGACTTTGGTGACAAGACCATCAACCTCTCAGGATGCTCTTCACAGAAAGTTTCCTGTGCCAATCGGGGTGGCAGGGGCAGGTGCTACAGTTATTGGCCAATAATTACCACTAAGTCAGTGCCGCAGCTCCAAGCTCAGAATCTGCCAGTCTGCCCCCAAGCCACCAGCTTAGCCAATCCTCCCACTAACTCTGGCTGGAAGGTGGAGGGCTTGTTGTATCCAGAGGCCTTATGCTTCTCCAGGGGGCAGCAAAACTCCCTGTTTCCTGATGCTGCAAGGCCATGTGTTTCTTATCATGCTGCTGTTTGTAAAAACTGCCAGGGAACCAAGACTTTTTCTCCCTTGGTTTTGTTTTTAAAAGGAGAAGAAATCACATATGAATACTCCAACACTTTAAAAAAAAAAAACTGCATCTGGTTTTACAGAGCATTCAGTGTCAGGATGAAGGTTCCGGGAAATCTCAAGTAGCTTCTCAAAGAGACTGACAACCCTCCCGTCCATGGACCAACCCAGTTAATGCAAGACAAACGTGTAGAAGCTCTTGCAGAGTTATTACAGGGATGTGCCTGGCCCTTGCCTGTGGTCTCCGTCCCATAGCCAGAGCTGCTAGGATTCAGAACTGAGAAGTATGGCCTCCTTGTAAGCAACTGCGCATCATGTGTGAGTTGGGCGAGGCTCTCTCCCTCCCTGTTTAATCATCTTGAAAATGAAGAGGTGAGGTGTTCTCCAAGATCCCTTTCAGCCCATGAGTTTCACTAAGGGCTTCCAATAGAGCTGACTGTGTTAAAGTAATCCTAGTACATAGAGGTTAGATAGAAATTCAGGAGGTAAGGAGCCTCAGGAGCTCGGCACTTAGTATTCTCTTCGAAAGCACGAGGGTCCGAGTTTAGAAACTCACTTAACAGCCCCGTGGCATGGCGGCCTGCCTGTAATTGTACCATTGGGAGGCAGAGGCAGGGGATTCCCTAGAGCGAGCTGGCTAGCCAGGCTAGCCATACTGGGGAGTTGGAGATTTCACTGAGAGACCTTGCCTCAACCAATGAGAATGAGGTGGAAGCGCAGCATGATGGAGGAGGATTGGAAACACCAACCTCGGGCTACAAACATGCAGGCACATGCACCCCCACACATGCCACATGCAGAAACATACATGCACACAAGCACACCACACACACACACACAATTGGAGGAGAAGACGCAGTCCTGGAAGCCAAACTGAAAACAGCTGGTTGCATGCTGTGGGATGCCATCAGCCAGGTGGCAGGAGGCGAGCACCGAGAGCCAACCAGGCTCAGAGTAGAGACACTGTGGGTGCAATGTTTTATGTGAAAAGCGTACATAGATCTCGTCCAGCAGTAGAGTAGAGTTAGGTTCTCCTGTCCCTCTGACGGGTGGAGACACAGCTTCAGCAGCTCCCACATGCCGCTGCGCAAGGTGCCTCATGTGAATGTGAGCTCTGGAGCCCAAGGTTTTGGCTTCAGGCCTATGCTGCTAGGCCGTGCTCTCTTAGAGTGACGTGAGGTGTAATGGCCTGACAGGATAAGGGCTTTTGCCCCTTATGCCGAGTCTCAGTGGAGAGCGTGGCCCTCTTCTACCTTGCAGCTGTACATACATGGCCTCCAAGATGTCTTCCGCAGAGAAAAGCAAATAGACGGGCGAACACAGTGCTTTCAAGGGCCAGAGCCATGAGGAGTCAATTCACACACACACACACACACACACACACACACACACACACACACTGTGCCATTGGCTAGAGGCTAGTCACATGACTGCAGAGCGACTAGCTGGGAAATGTGAAGGAGCCCATGGGTATTTAAGCATGCACAGTTGCTGCTATAGGCAAATTTAAAACAAAAACAGACAGAAAGCCACTTCTTCAATTTTGATTCAAGTGCTGTGTGACATTTTGTGAGGTAACATGAACGGATGTCTCTCAGCCCAGGTAGGCACCGCAACAGGCCAATGAAATGATTCCACCCAGGTGGAGTCTGGCAAACCAGTGAGTTTATTGGGATTGCGCACAGGGGCCTAGGGCACTCAGAGGTCAATCCCAGCATGGTAACTACTTATGAAATCACTCCAGGGTGACCGAGGCATCCCTGGAACTCCTGCCGCCAGTTCATGTAACTCCCTGAGCTTCCGGAATCTTACACGAGTCCTTCCCCACTCCAAGAAGGAATGTTTCTGGGTTTGGAGGAAATTGCTGAGTGCTCTCAGATCTGTAAGCGGAGGACTGAAATGTTGCTCTTCCAAGGCTGAGTGTCGAAGATACCATAACACAGCCCGATGCTTTACAAGGAGAAGAGCTCATTAAATGATAGTGAGAAACAATTCACGCCCGTGCTCTGGCTGTCTTGATTACAGTCCTAAGTACGACTGGTGACCTTATGTCTTAAACCATGAACTGTGAGAGATGGACTTTAAAGAATGAGTCACTCTTCAAGGCTCTTGTCCTCAGAAAGCATAGTCAAGACAGCCAGGCGCACAGCTAAGTATCAGGATAGTCAGAGCTGTTACCCTGCCTCTGAAGGGGTATTCGCTGAAGGGAGGACGCAGGAGTCCTGGAGAAGGAGAGGCATTCACTCAAGTGTGAGTTCCAAAGCATAGGGCATCAGAACCCACTGAAAGCCAGGCAGGCATGGCAGCCACCTGTAATACCAGCATTGGATGAGCAGAGACAGCGAATCCCCGGATCAAGCCGGCTTTTACTCACACATTAGACACAGTTACTTTCACGGGGCTTAGGACTGTGTCTAGCACACAGTAGCCAATCAGGGCAAGTTGGCTTTACCCACCATCAGAGTACCAAGTAGGAGGGACACTGCGCTACAGTCACAAAGCCAGTTTCTTATTGCTCCCACACTTAGGTCCTTAAATGATTATTTTACCTTGGGCCTCCAACAGCCTTTGCTATAAAATGGGAGCAGGTACTCCTTCTGTACCTGCCTAGTGGCCATGGCTGGGAGCTGGGCCCGATGCATTCCGGAGAGTCCTGAGAGTCCAAGGGCAGTGTCTCTGACGTTAAACTTGTCACGGCAAAGTCGATCAACCAACCAATCACAAAACAAAACAAAAACCCTGTCATGGATCCAAAACCGGGAAAGTCCTAACTAACGAGATACTGAAGGAGAAAGAAATGAAAGAACGATGATAAATGATGTGTGTGTGTGTGTGTGTGTGTGTGTGTGTGTGCAGGCATGCAGGTATGTGCACATAAGTGTGCATGTGAGTATGGAGGCCAAGGTCAACTTGAGCATCACTCCTCAAGTGTTAACCCCTCTCTTGTCTTTTGAGCCTGGATATCTCCCTAAAATTCACTAATTGGGTTGGTCCACTGACCAGCTGACCCCAGAGATCTGCCTGTCCCACCTCTCCAGAACTGGGATTCCAAGCATGCTGCCGTTCTCACCGTTCTGATACAGATCCTGGGGGTCAAATTCGGCTCTTTTCTCACTGCCTTTACTGACTGACCTATCTCTCGAACCCCACAGCAAATAAGTTCTTAAAGACTTCATTGACTGAAAACGTAAAATATGAACAAAAGAATTTTGCTTAATAGAAAAAAATACCAACCAGATGTGTACAATAAAACTCCTCACACCAGATCACAAAGACCCACACTTATTATTAATAAGGATAAGTGGCCACCTGCCCCTGTCTATTCCACTTCTGCCTGACCGTGTACACAATGATCTTGCGAAAAGAACGCCTTTAAAAAATAAATAATTAGCATTATTCATGTGATGACTGTGTTGGGTAAATCCAAGGATTCCCACACCTGAGTGCTAACCTCCTCATTCAATCTCAGCTTCAAGGATCTTAAGCCTGGTCCACCTTTTGGATTTTTTTTTAAACTTCAAAATGGGAAGCAGTGCAAGGGATGGAGTGGGGATCGTTATAAATCTCCCTCCACACTTGGAAATCCAAGTGATAAAAAACATATGACCTTCGGATGTAGCCGGGTTAAGTTCCTATTATAGCACACATGTAATAGGCATCAGAGAGATGTTTTAGGAGCATAGAAGGGACACCCTTCCTTTGGAGAAATGATTTAGGACCTTGGTGCTGAGGGCCCAGGCATCCACTCGCTCTGGGCAGCCATGATGGTGGTGGGGGGTAGACAGGCATTTTCATAAGTTCAGGGAAATATCCCACCTGACACAGAGGCCAGCCCCGTGTGTCACTGCGTATCACACGGTAGTCCGGGGAAGGGGCCTGTGGGTGGCCTTCTGATTCCTTGTCCAACAGACTGAGTCACTCTGGTTAAATCTCTGGGCACCTCACTCTGGTTTCCTGCACTCTGATCGAAGATTGAGTGGCCCACCCTGCCTGTTAAATCCCAAAGGATGGTAGCTCCTGCCTGGAGAGGGGATGCTGCTCCTACGGAGGCAGAGGTGGTCGCCACTGAGGAGACCCATTCTTACAGTTCCGTAGAACACTGTGCCTTGCCTTCCAGGTACCCCAAACTGGCTGCCAAGCACCGGGCATCCAACACCGCGGGCATCGATATCTTCTCCAAGTTCTCAGCCTACATCAAAAATACCAAGCAGCAGAACAATGCTGGTGAGTGACCCTTCAAGGGGCGCCCAGGCGGGGTCCGCTCCATGCCATGTGGACTGCAACTCTGGTTTGGCCATGGCCATTTCGGACCACCAGGCCAGAGAAGCTTCTGGAACCAATGCTGCTTGTTATTTTCTTACCTGCTCCTAACTCAGAACCTGCTGCCTGTAGGAGAAACAAGAGGGTGCTGTTGCTGACTGAGAGGCAGGGAGGCAGCGTGCTTTGGAAAGCCACCTTATCACACAGCAGAAGGCATGGAAGGGTTTCTCGATATCTTTTCACCAGATATATGACCCCCTCTGTGTTCACAGGGGGACATACATTCCCACTTCTTTGTAGTCTTCAGAGAGCTTTTCAAGGGCTGACATGAAACACGAGAAGGGCAATGAGGGTTGACATTTGGTGAATGCCACGGGCCTAATCTTCTGTATTCTCTTCATCACGAGTGTGAGGAGTCTAGGAAAGGACTTCTGAAAGCCTGGTCCCTCTGCCACATCTCCCTTCCTTCCTGGCTTTGGTTGCAAACTTAGGGCCTGCTTTGCTTCTTTTATGACAGGGCCTGAGCACTCCACATTTAAGCTCATGGAAATTTTAGTCTCTCATTCAGCATCAACCTTTAAGTATCTGCTGAGGTATCTGAATGGGGGTATGCGGGACCTGAAGAGTGGTTGGTGAGACTCCCCTAAAGGAAAGGGATGAAGGAGAGAGTTCCAATGACTATGGAGAGAGAGGATGAGCTAGAGCCCTAGGGTCTGGTACCAAATCAAACAGAAGAAATGCCACATGAATCTTCATGAACAGAACAGCTGATAATGCACAATGGACCATAGCAAGGTAGCAGGTACTCTTGTAGTTCAGAGAAGGGGTGTCTCTGGGAACCTGTGAGAAGGGGAAAAAAACAGTAGTGAAGACAGAAACAGATAAGTAAGAAGGGACTATGCCAGTCACAGTTACTGAGATCTTAGTTTGTGCCAAGAGCATAATAAAAGCCTAGAGGTTTTTAATAAAAGCCAAAGCGATTCTTAACAGCATTCAGGATGGGGAAAAGAATGGGGAAAGTCAAGGCAAGATTCATTGGCTCACAGTTTGACAACACAGTTCACCATGGCTGAAAGGCCAGAGTGTGAGGCAGCAGCTCACTGTGCCCATAATCCCCCTGTGCTGGCTAGTGCAGAAGGAGAGCTCCAAGTTGCGCACAAGCAAATCAGAAGACAGGAGGCTCAGTCTGGTTTAATCAAAGGGAAAGAGAAGAGCTGGTTAACAAGCCAGTGAAAAGATGAGAGGACACAGAGATGTGGGCCAGAGGGCTGTGGGAAGATAGAAGTGTGGAGTGGAGCTAGATAGCCCTGGCCACAGCCATGGCCACAGCCAAAGCCAAGGCTTTCCAGAAACAGGAAGAAGAAAGAAAAGGGTGACATTTAATTTTGGAATGCTCTGTCTTTCGGAACTGTAAGAGATATCCCATAATTTTAAGTCACCCAGCTAGTGGGTTTTTATTGCTATAGGTCTGAGGAGACCAACAAAAATTGTGATAAGTGCTAGTGACAGATGACGATAGCAACTTAATGAAGGGAAGGCTTGTTTTGACTCCCAGCTAGAGTACCGTCCATCTTGGCAGGAAGGCATGGGGCAGGGGCTCAAGGCAGCTGCTCATAGTTTATGTGCAGATAGGAAGCAAGACATACTCAACTTGCCTTTTGCTTTTATCCATTTTGTTAAAACCAGAACCCAGCCCATGGGCTGGGGCCCCTCACATCAGGGCGGGCCTTCCTTCCTCAGTCAGACGTCTGTGGAAACACCCGCAGAGACACACCCAGAGGTCTGTCGCCTGCTTGATTCTAAATCAAGTTGTCAATCAAGATTAAGTATCACAGCCTTCAGAACTTCCTGGAAAAGAACAGTTATTGACAGTTTGCTGGCCCAAGGCCCAGAGGCAAGGGAGAGGACCAGGGACTTCTTTCTTCCCCTGGGCCTGCCACATCTTGGTTCTGTTTCTTCAGTCTCTACTTCCAGTGTCTTTTCATCTCAACCACAAATATCTTCTTCCTCCATAGATGTCAGAGTGGCCTCAGAAAGATTATCTCATTTGAACCTTCCAGACTTTTTAAATTATAAACGGTATTTACATATTATCTGCATTTACAGTTCTGTTATGCCCAAAGCCAAAGCAACAGTTTCCAGTGTCGATTTCCTATAAACTCAATCCTCTCCAATTTTCATTGTTTCCCTTCTTCGGTTTCACCCTGGGTTCCCCATAATGGGCTTTGCCCTTGTGACTCCTTCCCCTAACCCGTTTGCACATTTTAAAGCTCAGGCATGTCTGCTTTCTAAGTAGCTGACCCCGACATGCTATGTTCCTCTCAGCCGCACACTGAGCTAGCCCAGTGTGACCTTTCTTTTTGACCTTTCTTTTTCCTTTCTTCCTGTCTCATACCCAGTTTTGGTGAGCAGGACCCAAAAGTTCTTAGGCTCAGCAAGCCATCGGCCCCTGCTTCTGCAGGCCGGCCTTCCCTGTAGAGACAGCCTTGTTCCTACAAGATAGGCCAGAGCCACACTCCCAAGCCAGATCTATGCTCATAGTCTACATGGCCCAGGAGACAAGCCATGACTCTCCACCTTCTCAGAGCCCCAGGATGGCAGCTCCAGGCTTTCTGACATCCATCGCTCTGCCCTTTTCCTCATCGGCTCTTCAACTAAGCATCTACCATCCTACTTCAGATGGTACCCCTTCTTAATTTACATTTTCGTTTATCTCATTTTTATTAATTATTTTTAAAATGTGTTCTTGTTCATGAGTGTCAAGGTACATATGTGTGGGCAGTAGGGTGTGCACATGTATGTGGAAGCCAGAGTCAATCCAGGTGTCATTCTTCAGATGATAGTCCCCCTTGTTTCTTGTTAGGACAGCATCTCTTGCTGGCCTGAAGCACACTGACTTGGCTGCGTTTGCTGGCCAGTCAGCTCCAGGAATCCATTTGGTTTTTAAATGATGTCATGGTGGCCCCAAGTCACTACGTCCAGACTGGGGTGGGGGTGGGGTCAAACTCAGGTCCTCATTATTTTGCAGAAAGCACTTTACCAGCTGAGCTATCCCCAGCCCCCTCCTTTCTCTCTCTCTCTCTCTCTCTCTCTCTCTCTCTCTCTCTCTCTCTCTTGCAGAGCCCTCTCTCTCTCCCTTCTTTCCCTAGACACACTGCTGATGGTCATAATCCAGTCCCACCCTGTCACCAGGAAAGCTTGAGAGAAGCCACTGTTGCTAATACCTAGCTGCCCCGACAGTCCCTCTCCTACTCGAAGGCAGACCTCATCCATGGGAAATGCTCCTCTCTCAAGAGAATCCGCCATGAATTGGCGTATTTACTTTCATTTGGACTTGCATCAAAATTTCGTGGGGACCCAGAAAAATGGCCCAGTGGATAAGAGTTCTTGCTGTACAAGCAAAAGGATCTGAGTTCAAATCCTGAGCGCCCATGTAAGAAGCTGAGCATGCGTGCGCCTACGACCCCAGCTTTGGGGGCCAGAGACAGGCAAATCCTTAGAGCCTGCTGACCAACCAGCCTAGATGAAATGGTGAGCTTCTGGTTCAGTCAATAAAACAGAAGGCAACAGAGGAAAACACCCAACATCTGGTCCCAGCCTGCACACACTGAGCAGAGCAGCACCTGCTCTGAGCTCCTTTTGAGGGCACGTGCCTTATATGGCACGCATTACCCTAGGTTCTGAAGTCACTAAGAGGAACAGGTAAGAGGCATTGCCTTTCGAAAACTAGCTGTCTGCACAGGCTAGAAATCAGGCAGATGAGGGATTACTGGCCTGCATTGAACCAGCTCCACAGATATGCCCGGAAGATCTGTTCCCTCTAAGCCTGTTTCTGAAACTGTGAGATGAGCTAATTAATACTTCTGCCAGGCATGGTCGCTGTTTGTGTGGCGGGTTCGTGTACTTCTTAAATCAAAACGTGCACATCATGGTACAGTGCCTGGCACATCAAGAGTGCCCGCTGCGTGCTACTCATGATCACTGGTGTGGGGAAGATAAGCCAGCCCTGCTGCTTCTGCTCGTTTCCTTTCCTTCCTACCCACCCTCAACCAGCATCTGCTGGCCTCTCCCCCATTGGGCTCTTCCTGATTTTTTTAAAGTTCATTTCTCCCTTTTTTTTTTTTTTTTTTTGTTTTTAACTTCTAAAATTATTATTGGTGGCAGGGTCCATACCAGGATGACTTCATGGGGTTGGTTCTCTTATTCTACCTTTGCGTAAGGCCCTGGGGGTTGCACTCAACTCATCAGGCTGGCAGGGCAGGTTCTCTTACTTCCCACTGAGCCACTACACTGGCTCTGTTCCCTCTTTAAGATTAAAAAGAAAATGTTTTCATGGTGTGTACGTATCTTTATGTGTGTATGTGCAAGTGAGCAGCTCCTGCTCCCAGAAACCAGAGGGGCTGGCTCCTTGGAGCGTGAGTTACAGGTCAGTTCCTTCACCCGGGTGCTGAGAGCAGAACCTGGGTCCTCTGTAAAACATGAGGTGAGCTCTTAGCCTACTCTTAACATCTGAGCACTCTCTCCAGCTCCCTTGTCCCCACTTTCCTGAAGGTTGCTGCTGTTCCCTCAAAGGGTATATACCCCAGATTGCCACTGGCGTGGTCCTAATCTCACACCTGGTGATTTTTGTGCTTTGTTTGGGGACCCGCTCCTGCACTGCCTCCTGCCTTCTTGTCCCTGTCATTTTCACATCCAGATCCCCTTGGTCCTCTGAGACCAGAATCTGCCTCCGACCTGCCCCAACCCTTCCTTAGTGTTCTTCTCAAGCGCCTCCAAGTGGCCTGGATTTTATCTTGAATGAGTTCTGAGGCTCTATATTCAGTCAGGTACGCATGCGGCTTTGTAGTTTTTCTATCACTGAGGACATACCCTCACCCCTCACCTCCCCCCCTGCCAACCCGCCCCTGCCTCCCCCACTACTGGGCTTCAGGAAGAGACAGTAGCTATGTGACATCACGTTACAT